AGGCAACCTAGTCATTGTGAGCTTGGTAAGTTTCATGTATAGTGGGGTCTTTTATTTTGAAACATGATTACTCCTGTGTCTGACTTCCTGCCTTGCTCATCTGCTCTGTGCATCTTGGTGTGGCTTCTCTCAAAACTAGAACTGGTCCAGTTTGATTGATAAAATGGTGCATTTGATAGAGTGAAGAGCTGCTTCTGGAATACATTGCATTCGGTGAAATTGTAAGCGTTTTGTTGTGTTGGTATTGTTAGCTCAGAGTTCAGGGATGGAATATAAGCCTGCAGATATTCAACAAGCTTATCTTAAGCTTTAATGCCTTGGATATTAGTTGTATTTAGTAAAGTTACTTAAAACAAAACAAAACAAAAACAAACATGTCACACTGGCATAAAGACTATAACATGGCTCTGGCCTTTCTCTGCAAGATGCATTTTGGTAAGAACTGACCTAAAACCTCTTTAACGGAAGTGACCAGTAGATATATTGGATCACACCACCTGCACATGAGCGTATGCATGCAACACAACTGCATAAAAAATCTGCCAAACCCTCCGTGTTACTGGAGTCTTGAGCAGTGAAATGCTCTCACGCCTCCTCACCTGCATAGTTCCTCTGCTGTCTGGTGGGTTTTCTCAGAGTTTTTTCCACCGTTAAACAGAGTTAATGAGAAGCTGTGAAAAAGTGAAGCCGCAGGTTCTACTTCTTAATTAATGGCATCAAGTATATTTAGTAAAGCTCCTGGAGAAACTGAAGAGTTGGGCATCAACTGAAATGAGTTTTAAGGTTATTTCTTAAATGCAATTTTTAAATAAATGATAAATATTCTTGAAGCAATCACATATAAACAACATTCTGGGGGTAAGTTTACAATGAATATATCAGCACCCGAGAGCCTGTTTTGAAAAATAATTGACTTTGACCTTTTTGCCTCTTAAGCCTGACAATCAGTGTAGAAGCACCAAAAGTTTCCTTTTAACAACTACAAAGGCAGCTTCATTGCTTAAAATGACACGCAGCCACATAGAAGAGTTGAAAGAGAGAGCTTACTGTAAAAGGTCTGAAGGGGATCTTCATTATTCTGTTTCTTTTTGTACATTTGCCAGCTGTAAAGTGTTTGAAGTGGTTGGGGCTTAAGAGGAACCATTTACACAGACAGTGGGTTTAAAGTAGTCCACTTTCTTGGACGTCAAAGCCCAGTCAATTTGAGACCAGCTCTGCTATATATGATAACAGGACAAATACATTAAGCAACTCTGGAAAGACATTACTCATTCTGTGCTATGAGAGGACTGTGAAAGCTTCACATCGAGGCAATACCCAAAGCCAACACTGCAAACAGCTCGAGACAGGTAGTTTCTATGGCGCTGAAGACAGAATCAACAACACAGTATTGTGATGACAGCTGTTGGCTAAAGACAAGTTTGGGGTTTTTTCTGCTTGAAAATGCAGTCATGAGTTCCTATAAGTGTCTGTAGAGGCAGTTCAAACACAACCGCAGAAAAGTGTTTACAAGCTGTGTATCTACCTTATTTAACTCAACCACAACACAGCATTCCTGCTGCATTCACTTTTGCATTGCTAAGGGGAAATAATGCTTTACATTACCCATCCATCCATTTTCTTCCACTAACATTTATGTTGTGAAGCTATAAAATGCTTTTATGTGTTTCTGACGGCAGATATGATTTCTTCTTAAAAGCAAGCCCTTGCAAGCAAAACCTTCCCAAGTCAAAGATTCCTTCGCAGTTCATGAATATCTTAACAAAACTTGGAACAAATGTCTGAATTTGTATGCTGAAGTGGAGGTTGGAAGCTTTTACATGTAGTCAACACTGACAGATTGTAAGGAATTTAATTTGACCGCTTGAAACTTAAGGACTCATTTATGGTCACAGTCTGTCCACGTGGAGCTCACATGTGAATCTTTCCAATCTCGATAAGAAGACGATTTTGTCTTGAGGGATAGTAACGCTGGTCAACCAGTCTGTCCAGTACTGTTGCAAATAAAAATATACCACTAAAGATTGGATGGATTACAATGAAATTTGGTCCATCCACCCATCCACTTATTCCGTTTTGTTTACAAGCCAGTGGATGTTTTTGCTGGTCTAAGGTCTTCCCCAGGGTTTCCTCTTGGTTGGACATCTCACTTTGGAAGCACGCTAGAGAGATTCCCAAACAGCCTCAGCTGGCTCCCTTTGACATAGAGTATCACAGGCTTTACCTCCAGCCCCTCTTGAACAACTGAGCTCGGCCTCACTGCACTATCCCAAACCACAAAATTGAACACTTTGGCTTCTCTCAGAAATTCTGTCCGTAGAACTTATGAACATAATTGTTGACAAAGGGCAGCCTTGGCAGGGTCTATGGCCATCGTCCACCATTTGCCTCTGTTAACTGACATGATATGCAAAGCTAAATGAAAAACTAGCCATAATTATTGGTATCCTTTTCCTTTAGAAAATAACAGGTCCCTGACACTGGATAGTGCTTCTCTGAAGAATGTCTTGGAGATCATCTAATTTCATTGTTCTCATTTCATTGTGTCCCAGATGCATCAAACTGAGCTTCTTCCATGTTTTACAGTGGGGGTGGGGTTCATTCTACATTCCTCTGTGACCAAAGAGCAGATGTGTCTTACAAAAACACTTCCAGAAGCATTGTGACTTGTCATCTTAGATTTTTGCTAATTTCTATCAACTTTAAAATGCTTTCTTTCCAAATCAGGATTTTCTTTCATTCAGGACGCAACATGTGATTTGACAAGACCCTGTAAAACTATGAACCCGGGGGGTTAGCTTCCACGTACCTACCTTTCCTTGGTCCTTTTTCCACTGCTCAGACTATCTTCCTGATTAACCTGGAGTCAGTGTTTTACTAGGAACACATCTAGAGAGAATGGGTACTGACCTTCAAATTTCTAGTAATTCTCCAAACCTGATTTTCACTGGAAAGTCAGGCTGCATGGAAGTTGGTATTAGATTCCATTACAACTTGTTTTATTTCCATTGTCCTGTGTCTGTTCTCTTGTGGTTCACACAGTGACACCAAACAGCACAATGAGTACTTCTCATTGTATGATATACACAGGAGTACTATAGGTTCAGTGATTGTAGGAGTGAAGACAGTGGTGGTAGAACGCTGTCATTTGGGAAACTATGAACACATTTTTATGTTTCTTACATGTTAAATGTTGGTCCTTTTAAAATGCTTCTTTCATCCAAAGTCTTGTATAATCAGGCTCTATCCTATCACAAAGACTGCATGGTATGATACTAACCCAACCTAAAAATTTGCTCTCAGGCTTCAGGCTCACTTGTGGTTCCGTGAGTTTCTAAAAGTAGACTGGGCTCTAAAAGTAGAGCCTTCAGGTATCAAACCCCTTTCCCATGGAAACAGCTCCCAGTCTGGGTTTGAGAGACAGACACCATCTCTACTTTTAAGGCTAGGGTTCATACTTTAAGCTTTGCTTTCTGGTAAAGCTTAAGTCTGGATCAGGTGACCCTGAACCATCCCTTAGTTATGCTGCTGCTGCTGCTGGGGGACTTCCCATGATGCACTGAGCATCTCTTCTTCCCCTTTATGACCAACTGCTTCTCCATAGGGAATTAACTGATTTGGGTTTATCACTCTAATATAGTAGGATCTTTACTTTGTAATACAGGTGGAATACAAAGCGCCTTAAGGCAAGTGTTTATGTAAACTGATGCTACATAAAATAAAAATTAGCGTAATTGTGTTGAAAACATTTGTTGGTCAAATAATTCACTTTTGTTTTTTTAGTTATGATTTATTTTTGTTTTTCTTTAATTGCTTTAATTTTCTTTCAAGAGGAAATTTCCAAATTTGCCAGAAAGGGATTTGTAAGACACAAGTTTCTAGCAACATAGAAGCCGGACTTGCTCATTTTGCACACCTGGCAGAGCGTGCACCAGCACACATGAGCACAGACACATTCAGACAGTGCCATGGCATGTGTAAGGAGCTCCCAAGATTTGGGGGAAGGCTTCCTTCTCAGGCTTGATTTACAACATCTTCTGCTTCAGTGCTAATTACAGACACACACGGTCTTACACAAATACACACTCTCACACACCCACAAAGCCTCTGGCAGGAAAGTTAGATGCCATAAAAAATCCTTACTCAGCATGAAAAGCCTTCATCAGATGTGCATCCTCACGAGTCTGGACTCACCTTCACTGACTGCCAGTCTACCTTAGGACTATAATTCATGACTGTTTTGACTGCTACGCTGATGAAAGTCCATACAGTTTTAACCCCCTGATGTAGTTCTGTTTTAAAGTTACAGTCATCAGCATCGTTAAATTCACTGTCTGGATCTGCCCTGAATGACCTCAGTGGATTGTTTTGTTGTTTGTGCTTTGTTTCTCCTGTCGCCACCAAATCATGAACATACTTTGCTATAACAGTCAACAGTAACTGCTCTCACAGAGACCCCCACTGCTCAGTGTAGCGCAGTATTTTAAACCTAAATGGGCTGGATGTAGCACTTGGCCATTTCACAAAAAACATCTTAGCACGGTTTGGTCCACACAACGGCTGGCTGCACAGAATTAGTCACATGAAGCAGGAGGGTCACAGGATGCCTTGAGGACACAGAATGACTTTGTCCTTTAATTCTAGGATTAAGACAACTTTTCAAAGGGCCTGTTATTAGATAAATAATTACTTTTAATAGTAGCTTTGATTACTGAATAGATAAATATAGATGAGTCTTGAGCATTTTAGTAAGCACAGATGTTGTACACACTAAAAACTGTGAGGCAATTTTTAGTGTGTACAACATCTGTTTGTTAACTAAAGAAACCACAAGAAAACTTTCATACTCAAACAAATGACTCAAAATAAGGTTTTCTAGGAACCTAACAAGTATTGAATGTTACGCAAGGATCGAAACCAAAAAGCCATGAAGTCTGAATGTTTATCTGGACATATGCTACACATTAACTGCATTTGCTTTGTGTGTTTATTTGCTGCAGAGGTGCATGGGACTGAAAATCCACTCACCGGGAGACCGCCTCTAAACCCATGGATTTGGCAGAAGACCGCCCTTGAACAATACCTTCAGGACCGCAGAACAAGGATGAAGATAAATCAGAGAGTATCTCAGGTCAGGGTTAAATCTTTTTCCTATAATTTAGCTACAGGTAAACAATTCAGGGTTCATTTCACTGGGATTTGTTTTTGTAGACTAACTGGTAACCTGAAGTATATTGGCTCCATGTCTGACATAATTGGATCCACAAGTTATTATAAATCGTACGAGCAAAACTGTTGTAATTATATATTGTAACCTCCCCTGCAGCTCATCTGCCTGACATGGAAACAAAGAAGCATGTCGTTAAAAAGAAACAGCTGAAAAGAAAAAAAAAATCTCAGCAGTGTGTAATGTAGGGGCCTATTCGTTACCTGCCTATGTTACATCTTCTTTCTGGGCCTACAAAAGATAATCATTACAGGATACAGCGAAATGTTTGCCCATCAAAAGAAGCAGTGACACAAGGTCAAAAATGTGCTGTGTGAGCAATAATGTCTGGTACAGTGGTGCCCTCCTCTGGGCACTGTTTTACTCAGACAAACAGATTAATATGTGCACACAATAAACACACACTCACTTTTTAATCCTTGACATTCTCTATATTTTTATGCGTTTTACAGGCCCAGCTCAATCTCAGTTCATAGCTTACTTGGTAGGCTTCACATTTTCCACCCTGTACCATGCTTTAATATAAGCGCTCATTTATGTGCTTTAATAGAAACTGTGAGTGTTGAAAAATACACCAGTTGATATGAGCTGAGGTGACAGTTACAGTGACATCAGATTCTTAATGCAACGACTATTTGTTTGTAGAGAAATTCTTTGTATAGCTTTGGCAGCTGAAGGCCTTGTGTTTGAAATGCTTTCAAACATAATGACACATTTCCACTCTGATGATTTACTGATGCGTTTGTTAATTAAATAGAAAGTTGCAGAAGCAACAGTTCCCCTATTCAGCCACAGGCGTCTTCAGTAACTGCTCATAATGAGCACCTTTACTATGAAAAGTGATCTTGTTTTTCTCACCACAGTGGAGTGGCAGTTGGCAGTTTGATGCAGTCTTTACATTAAAACCCCGCCCCCTTCCATTCTTTAGCACTCACTCATCATTTCACAGTGCAACACCGCAAAAAATTAAAAACAGTTCCTAGAAAGTCGTCAATGGGCTGGCGTGCAAGCACACATATCCTGTTTCATGCAAATGAGCTTGGGCCTGAAGGGGGCTACGCATATGGACGCCCATATATGTCTCAATAAGACAAACAATGATATGCTTTTGCTCATTTTCTCCCTCATTTAACAACCTCGCTTGCAGCCAAACAAAACAAAATACACCAAGAAATAATAAGCGGGGCGGTACAATACAATGTCAAGATCATTAGAAGCAACAAAGGAGACAGTGCAGTAAAAGGAGTCGTGCAGCTGGGCAAGGGGAGGGACTTCAAATGACTAGTGTTGAGTATATGCACTTTGTTGTGAATAGTCATTGGAGATCATAGAGCTATATGCTGAACACAGGCTTCACTGTCAGAGCTCTGATTGTGACAGATTTCTCTCTCTTTTTGTCTCTCTCAATTTTCTTTTTGACAAAAATAAAAAAAAAACTGTGACAGCTTCCTTCATTATTAAGTACATGCAGAGATGTAAGAGGGAACCAGCCCATTTTTATAGAAAAAGATACCAATGGGCGAGTCTGTGGCTCCACAGTACAGAGAGGGACACAGGGAAGAGTGGTGTCCATAACTTCCAAAGCCAATAGCAAAATGTAAGATATAATGTATCCAACTTAATTCATAAAGATTAAATTACTGCAATCCAATAATCCAATAACAAGTATTCAGTAGTCAGGTTCTCATCAGTGTACCCTAGTTCCCTAACACATGATGCAGACCTCATTAAGCCAGCTCACTCATATTCCAACATAGGCTCAAGTAGCATTGGGTGCCTAGGCTGACCTGGAATCAAACCACTGATCCAATGTTGCTACCAGACTATCCAGCTGTTATTTTGTTGACTGTTGACCTAATGAGAGAGGTTATATGCAACAAGTGGGAATTATAGAAGAGCCCAAGACCAAAGATCCACTCTGGTACCTCAGTGCTCTAACATCTGTAAAAGAGAGCTACTGCTGAAGATAGTGATTCAGCGGCTACAGCGCACTGGGAACCGTCGTTGACTGCCGCCATGATTCTAGCCTACGTCACAGTGTCATGTGCGCTTTTTACATCCAACACAAAAACTGCAGTCGTGGTGCTTTGACTGTACTCAGAACTTGGAAATTCTGCCTTCTGAATAGGAAGATGTAGGTAACACCAGACTGCACATGAGCTGCATACAGGGCTGGACTGTGACAAAAAATCGGCCTGGGCATTTTGACTAGAAACCGGCCCACCATTATAGGAAAAATCATAAAGCCTTTGAATGAAAACAAACACTGTTGTGACAGTGATGTACACTGTCTTGATGGTATAGATGCGTTAATCTATCAATCGTTTGTTGTAAGGCTCAAATAATTATTTTTTAAAAGCTAGACACTTTAAATGAGAATAAGAAAGAAAAGTATTTCTTTGTGCGCCCCTCTCCCTGTTAAGGCCCTACCTTGCCCCCCCCCCTGCACAGTAACCAGCTGATCAGTTTCATGATTGAAGTAGAAATGGGAGAGGGAGAGAATGAGAGAAGAAGAGGCAGCTGACAGCAAAAGACAGAATAACTCCAGCTTTGTGTCTTTTTCATTGTAGCTGAAGTCCGGGACAAACTGTTCCTTTTCACCTCAATACTAAACGCGTAATATTTTGTCTGAATACGGAACGATTCCGTTTTTTACGGGACGGTTGGCAACTCTATTAATTAACCTTATGAACAAAATAAAGTTCAACATCAGTAACATCATAGCACCCACCCAGCTGTATAGAAACCCCGTCATGCTAGCTAGTACGCAGTACGAAAAACTCAGCATAACGAAAATAAACTCCACCTAAACTTGGTTTATATCTGACCCAGATAGACTGCAGGTCATAACTTCTTACCTAAAGTTCAGTTCACCTGACAGTCAGACCGGCGGCCGCTTCGGGTTTCTCCTCTTGCCTCCCCTTTCCCTCATCCACCTGCTGCCTCCACCACTTGCTAATGTTACTGAATCTGTGGAAGCTCCGCGATAGTCACCACACGAAGTAACGAATAACGAGCCTATCTAAATCCCAGTAACGAGTAACGCGTTCCTGATTTTGGCATGATAACTAGTTACCGTGCTCCTTACCACAATAATAACATAGTTACTGTAACGTGTTACTTAATAACGCGTTAGTCCCAACACTGCTTAGCGGTATGCACAACCCTGATAAAACAGAGCAGTGGAAATGTACTTTGGGATGACTAACTATCTAGAATGACAGATGCTTCTATGGAGCTCAGGTTGAAGATTGTCGTCTGACTCATGGTATGCCCACAACCAGTCGACTGCTGCTGATTCCTAATAAGGCTTTCCCCAAACTGCAGCCTTTTTGACCAGTTTTTTTAAATTTCATTATCAATAAACTAACATTTAGAATTTTGGTTCTTGCAAGTGAGATGATCTGTTCTTCAAAGGCCCATCCAGGGTGTGCTCTGAACTGCAAGGGAACAAGTATACAGACAGACACAGGCAAAGCTCAGAATGAGCAATAATCAAAGAACTCAACACATAAGTGCAGCTTAAAAGGGTCAGAGCACCAGCTACTAGCTGACAGAGCATAAACCAGGACTTTAAGACCAGGAAGGCTAACCTGAGCTCCACTGGGATTTACTACAAGAAAGCCCATGACTCAGTGTCCCACACATGGATTGTGGAGTGCTTGGCACTGTACGAGGCTAACAGTGCACTGATAACATTCATCAGGAAGTACATGGGGCTGTGGAAGAGAACACTATAGACCCATTCCAGGGAATTTCACAAGTTACCATCAAGTGCAGGATATACCAAGGTGACGCGGTTCTGCATAGGCCTCCCGCTAAACCAGCTCATAACAAAGAGTGAACACAGATATACTGTAGATTCAGGAGTGGTGAAACCATCAGCTGTCAGTCATAAGTGAGTGAGACATGAATTTACTGATCCACCTACTTGGGGTTAACAGGCGGGATTGAAGAGGATTAGAACACTATTATGGAAGACCAAGGCCCTGCATGGGATGTATCATAGACAGACAGAAGATGTGGCTAAGATAGTGTACGGGCACATCTGTACCATATATAGATTAGAAGTCCGTAACTCCCAATTGGAGATACTACCACAGGATGTTGAGAACAACAGTGCAGTGGGACTTCGAGTTCCAGACAGACAAGTTGCTGGCCAACCAATCAGACATAGTGGTGGTTGACAATGAAGACCACAATTTTAATAGATGTGGCAATCTCAGTGGACAGCAACATCAGGAAGAAGGAGCACAAGAAAATAAAGAAGTGCCAGGAACAACTGGAGCAGATGTGGAGGTTAAAGTCCTAAGTGGTAATAGAAAGTATTAGGAGCTGAACTCCCAAACTGGAAGAGAAACTCCAGGCACATCATCAGGTCAGTCGTGGTGACAGGCTGTAGTAAATAAGAATAAAAAGATAAAGCCTATTACACCAAACCACTTCTGTAAAAGGGGTGTCTAAATTACAACTTAAGGACTGCTTGTCCAATCTTGAGACATCAATCTCAACACGAGTCTTTCAAGAGCACACATGGGCAAAATACAGCCCAGAATCAGTCCAGGGACCATCTTAATCTGGCCACTAACATCCCAATATGTAGGAGCAGGGACTCTGCTCTGAAACTAAAAGTTGTCTTTGACATGTTGGTTTATGTATGTTTTTATTAGGAAAAAGAAAAGGAGTCTAACACAGAGAGAGGGGGAGAGGGCTTTTCATCTATATGTTCAGATGTCTGATAAGGTTCGTGGCAGACTGTGCCTCCTCCCGCTCCCTTCTCTCATCCTCAGCCAACTAATCATAAGAACAGACCCCTTTGATCCCACGGGTAGACTGGCACTCGGTGTGTGTGTCTGCATTACAGTGCACACTTGAATACACTGTAAATGTGCAGAACAAGAAGAGTAAGTACAGGAAAAGTGTGCTAAGAATTTTGTGCGTGCATGAAAGCACAGGTTTGTGTGTGTGTGTGTCTGTGTGGTCATGGTCGTGACCACCAGTTGAGTTAAGCAGCCCAGTCAGTTACGTTCCGCTCCAGCAGACTCACATCAATAATATTGGCTGAACTGCTGCTTGTCTAACTGTGGCTCATGAAAATGTTAACTATAAATGTGTATATTTGTGACATTTTTACAAGATGCACAGATGTATTTTATTTCACTGTTCTTTTTTTTTTGTTGGAGAACATTTTGCTCGGCCTCCAGCACAAGTCAAATTTAACCTACCTCTCTTTTTTGCCTCGCCTAAAAGTGACTACAGGTGTATTTGTACATGTTAATTACTCACTGTTGTTTTTCTCCCTCATCATGTAGAGTGCCTGTCAGCAGGAGTTGGACAGGGTCTTAGAGGAGATTGCTAAAATGACTTCAGAGGATAACAGAGGCCCACTGGAGAACCTGTATGAGCTCAAGTTTCCAAACTGTGACAAACATGGACTGTATAACCTCAAGCAGGTGAGCTGCTGGCACATCACCTGTCCTACGTCACATTATTTTACAAAAGAGAACATTTGGGTCAGGTAAATTCACAAGAGACCCATCCATGATATATGTATGGTAAGACTTTTCACGTTTTTGTTATTTTATGTTTTAGATTCTTACAGGATATAATTTGAAGCATAATAAAGAAAGAATTGAGACTTCCCATTGACGAGAGGGTAGACATAAAAGGAAGAAAGAAATAGCCCTTGTTGCAAAAAGCCTGCCAAACAATGCTGGAAAACCTGAGAAGCAAACAAAAAATATCTCCAAATTTGGTCAAGTAAATTAAAAAAAATGGCTTTAGATGATCTTCTCTTCAAGTTAAATTCCGGTAGAACTTTCTGTGTCTGTGAACCTCAGCCACCCGTGCGTCAAACTGATGTTACTTTCTTTTAAAGGATAATTATTGGTCATGTCAGCTGTCTTCAGCTAAGACCGAGAATCCAAGCATGAACATGATGCATCAGGTCATGAGTGCAACCAGCAGGATGATGGGCTGCTATTATTTAGTCTCTCAGGGTCAGACTGTCAGTGTGGATTCCACTGATATCTTCACAACAGTATAATTGACTGCCTCTCCAGTGAGTTTCTTATTCCACATATTGTCCAGCCTTGATGTGGTCAGTGTAGCCAAACTGCTGTAAGCTGTGACTAGAGGAGCTTTCTACTTTAAGATCGATCTGCCCCAACAGCAACTAGCAAGAGAGCCAGGCAACAAAATCTCCAAAAGGATATTAGTTAAGTTACTAGAATTGAGAACCTTTTTGATCACAAGCAGAAGCAAAGATGTTTAATAATGCGAGTTTTATGATACACATCTTAAAGCCATGTCTTAGACTCCTGGTTGGGGGTTGTTGTGTGATGAGTCCATCAGTCATCTTACCTAAATGTGATCTATTGCATATTTATGTTCATCCTCTCACTGGAAATCAGACTCAAAAGAGATGATAGAAGGTTATACTGTTATGTATCTACTGCTGGGTAATGTGTCAATCAGCATTACCTTACACACTCATTGGTACTTGCTTCAATCACCGAACTGGAAGTTGAGAAAAGTTTAAAAAAGTTTATCTTGGGTACCAAGCAGTTATCTTGCCAGGTTGAAGGTGCCATATGTCATTAGTTTTTATGATCTCTGTTCACCTTGAATTAATTCCTGCATGGACACAGCCTAATGTGGTAGCATTTTCATTTAATTTTGAGTACAGGTATCCTGGAATAGGATTTTTGAACTGAATGCCTGAGCAGAAAGGCACAACAAAGAATATAGTTTTGAGGAAACTTTCATCCATCAAGGGGAAATCTAAATTGCTGCCCCCGTTGTTCAGAAAACCAGATCCAAACTATCTTTCATTCATCAAACCATCAAAACTCTGAACATGTGCAACACATACTGGTATGCCCAAAATGATCTCTAAAATTCAAGGAGAGTGCAAGTGACTGAGTATTGTGTGCTTATGGCTTATTTTGATGTGATTCTGTTTATGGGGTGTATACAAATGTCAGGTGAGTCACTAAATGTATCTATCTATTTTTAGAGTAACAATCTCATGTAAATCCGTAACCAGTTTGAAGGTGGAAACAGAAAGTAGCAAGCCCAAACAGGTCACCTTTGTTGTCCAAGTAATAATAATAATAATAATGGATTGGATTTTATATAGCGCGTTTCAAGGCACCCAAAGCGCTTTACAATGCCACGTGCCTCGTTTTCCATTCTTTGCCCAGGGTAGTCTAAAAGTTCAGTTTGAGAGACATCATTTCTTGACCAGTTATCCTTTTGTTTATCAAATCTTCCACTGCTGAGCACCATTTACAGTGCTCAGAGCCGCACTCTGCTTATACAAAAAGCCAAAGGACACGGAAGACACAGGTTATACAGTTGTGGCCACATTTCAGTTTCAGAATGGCAATAAAATCTTTTACAGTTATTGTCAAGTAAAACTGAAAATCATAGAAAATTACAAACCCACCAAACCAAATGAAAACACTGGTGTCTAAGCAGTGTTTCACATTGTTCCACTGAATTTCACGCCTCATCCTTCATTTGAACTACTCAAAAAAAACAACAAAAAACGTTCTCGTCGTTGGACTAATTCCATTATTCAGATCTACTCACATGTACTGTAAACTCGTTTGTCATCTTTGCTGAATAATACGAACACTGAATCACGCATCAGGAAACTCACGAGTTTCACAATAACGGCCACACCCCAGTCAGTGCTGTCACAGCAGGTGTTTTCCATCTGCTGTCAAAAAGCAGCACACCTGCTGTGACATCACTCCTACGGTTCCTGCTATTGCTGTGGCATGTTTTGGTGATTCAGCCCATAGTGAGCAGATACATGGCGGTTTTATGCTCTGTGGGATTTGCTGGTGACTTACTGTTTCGTGGTGATCTGTAACACAAGACCATAACAAACTCAAGTGGTTGCAGATGTCAACAGGTTTTAAACTTTGCTGGTGGTTATGTAAGTAATGACCGCTGACTTTGATGATGGGAAAGAGCTTCTGTGGCTTTCGGTATCGGTGGAGATTCTTGTGCCTATACATGTGAAACGCATTAAAGTTTTGAGTGCATTTATGTTTCCTCCTTCGCTTTTCACATTTTCATTTCAGTTCCTCAGACTTTCTTTTTGGTTTTTCCTCTTTCACCCACGTATTACTTTGTGGGGTTTCCCCTCTCTTTTCTCTCATTGTCTGAGTCACACTCACACAATTCCTTTGTATCAGCCTGGCAAAATCACCCTGGCAAAAGTATAACTTCCTTCTCACTCCTGCCACCTGCCTCCTCCCCCTGTCTTTTTTCTTAATAAACTCTCACACCCGCCTCTTCCTTAGCGTTCTGCTCTTAAACACACACACAAACGCACAAATGCATGGGGAGATGTTGTCATCATGAATGAGGCAACAAGCTTCTGAGCTCAAGGTTACAAGGCAATAAAACTGTTTGGCGTACTTCATGGGAAGACTTTTGTTAAGCCGAGGAACGAACTGTGCTTCCGACTGGGGGCTTGAATTTGTATTATGCCCATCCATAGACATCAGACAGGGGAGGACAAACAAGGTCACATATCCAGTGTTTTCTTACGAGGATAGTAGAGCAGAAAAGAAGATTTGAATAGGCGCCACCGTTTCCTAAAGCAGGGCTCTCAACCACTCAGCCAATTTTCATCACCGGTCACAAACAACAGCATTGTTTTGGACTAGAGTCCACGGTTCCCAGGGAGGAACACTGTACCTCCTCAACACTCGGCTCCCTTTTGGAGTTGTCCCTCCTTGTCGCGCGGTAATTACTGTAACTGTCACTTTTTTTGTTCTTTCTCATCGAAGGAAGAAAATGGAAAGTCTTTTCTTTCCCCCCAGCTCTTCATTCTTTTCGCCGTCCCCTACCCGGCCGCCCCGCACGCGGGGCGTAAACTGTGTCCACTTCAATTACGACCTCATTTCAGGGGGTTGGGGGGGAAGGGTGGGCTCTGCAGGGGAGCTAGTCTGCTGGCATGCCTCCGTTTGTGCGTGTATGTGTGGGAGTGTTTGCGATCACATGTGTGGCTGTGGATGGGTTGTGTGTAGGGGGGATAACCTGAGGACAGGCTGTTATTGGGTGAGTGTTGTCCCACCCGAATCACAGTCCTCACTCTCATCCAATGACCCCCCGCCGCCAGAAGATCCTCGCACACACACACACATGAACACAAATCTCAAGCCACCCTACGCCATGCTTCATTAATGCATCCCCTGCTTTCACTGTGTTTCCTTACCCTCCCGCCTCTTTTTCCCAGTGTTTTCCATCTTGCCTAGTTTGTGTTTTTCTTCTCTCCTTCCAGTGCAACATGTCCACCCACGGCCAGCGGGGAGAATGCTGGTGTGTTGACCCCTTAACAGGAGTCCAGATATCAGAGACACCTAAAGTCAGAGGGGATCCCAACTGTAACCAGTTTCAGGAGGTGCACAGAGCAATGCCCACTGCAGAAGCATCTCACTAGCGCACCATCAAAATGGGGCTGGGTTTTCTTCACAATTCCAAATTTATGAGGATTATTCATCAACAGGTGATGACTAAGCTCATACTCGTATGATATAATACTTTTTTGGGAAAGTGGCTTCAGTAAAAGAGCATAAATGCAGAGTGAACTACAGTATTTTTGCTGGTAAATGGACATTTTTCAGCAGTATGATATGTATTATAATCCACTCAAACTACAGTGCTCATTCTAGTCAAAAAACATGCATAAGCAACAACAGTTCGAGGCAGGGGGACATAAATACATTCTGATGTGTGTTAGGCTTAGGGTCGTCACCAAGTTAGATCATGATAAGTGTCCATCTAATACACACAGACAAAATCTGGATTTCCTTTAATATTCATCCTCAGTGTCATTATAACTTCTGAAAATAACATGCTGAGGTCTTTAAATGATAGCTTGTTATCAGCTCTGTCAGTCCATCATTCTGGTGATTTTCAGCTAATGTAAAGCTGTCCGAAAGTAAAGCTTTTTAAGGAATATAAGGCAAACGCATAACTTTTAGGGCTACAAGTAAAGAGGTCATTCAGAGACAAGAAAAGCAAAATAACCATCTAAAAGGGGCTAAAATGGTTTGCAATGCTAAGGGGAACTGCAGAGTCAGCTCATTTTCTGCTTTTTTTTTTTCATTTTAAGAAAGCTCTTTGACATTACACCTAGTCTGATGAAATCAGCATTAATCTGTTAATTATATAGACTTTCAGCCTAAACCTACTAAGGATTTTATCTGCATTTAAATGTCTCATGTAGGATCTCAGTAAGTGCAGTTAGTCTTTTTTAAGAGACTAAATATTATATTGGTTGTGCCTCCATATCAGAAGTCTTACACTGCTCAGTGATCGAAGCCCAAAGCTGGCAATTTTAGAAATTGAAGATGAGAGTCTACCATTATAAATACTGTCTAAGAATCAACCAATAGGAATGGAGCATTAAAATTCTAAACTTACCAGCGATCAAGGAGAATAAATGAAAAACTAAACGTGCAAAACAAAATGTTTGTGCTTCTGATAGAGCAGAAAATGCAGCTGAATTGTGATAGCAAAAGCTTGTTTGTATGATGCTTCTAGTAGCTGTTCCCACAACGGCGTCATGGTGGACACCCCACAACAGGGATATAAACCTCATTTTAAATATCGCGCCACATACAGCCCACTTTGATCTTAAGTGTTAAGAATTGGTGTCTTTGCTGGGCCATTTCTGGCCCTCAGGCCTTATCTTGACACCACTGGTCTACAAGCATCAGACTCGATGTCCCACTCAAATTTATTCCTTCCATATCGCACAGTTGTAGCTCGCAATGAGCAGCAATGAAATCCTAATGTGCTGGTGCATTTAGACTCACAGTGTAGCATTTTGGATAACTTTACTTTTATGTTTATTAATCTACACTGCTACTGTTGTATAAATCAATAAATTATTATTAAGTTATATAAATATAATAAATGACACAGATTAAATGTTATTCTAATGGCAAAATGGGGACAAACCCCCATTTTTTCTTTAGCTGAGTGGAGAATCTTTGAATCGCTGAAGATGATGTGTCCACTATCTATACTCATACATTTTTTAGCAGTAATACTTGGTGAACACTGTTTTAATTAAGATAATTAAGTTTTTATTTCAAGTAATGCTTTCTCTGATTACCTTTTGCAAAATTTCATGTTGATGTGCAAAATGAAATAAAATGCTCTGCCCATGACTGGAACAGACTTGTTTGCAGTTTTTGGTTGTCATTTTTTTTTTTTTTTAAGATTTTGCAGTGAAAATGTTGTGTTAATTTAACTTTGACTGTAAAATCTGACATCATCCATGTTTTTCTTGGAATCCACACCCATCCGTATAATAAACTGCAGAGAGCTGTTGTTGTTTTTCAGCAGTTTGCCTGTCAACACTTACGATAATAACCCTGGAAACCGCTGTGTGGCCATTCCTATCGATACTGTGGACTGACATGCTTGTGTGTGTGTGTGTGTGTGTGTGTGTGTG